GGTACTTTACATATTCAAGCAAGCACTATGGTACAAAAAGCCTCCGGTGCTTACCGAGGTGTAACATCCTGTACAGATGACCTATGATGACTGTTAGAAGTTGTGACCTTGTGGTTTAAATTCTGATACTAGTGCTCATGTCTTGAACATAAAATAAATAATAGGCCATGTTTATGTCATATTAAATTGGGAGTTCTTAACTTGGGGTCTGTGAATTTTTTTTAAAAAGTTTTTTGATCACTGCATTTCAATGTGATTGGTTTTCTCTGTAGTCTTATGTATTTTCTTTTATGCATTTAAAAACATTCAAAGAAGAGGTCCATAGGTTTAACTAGACAGCCAAAAGGGGTCCATGACACACAAAAATTAAGGACACCTATGTTAGATGGATGTTATAGAAAATGATAACCTAGCTCCATAAACATAACTTTCTATATGAAGAATATACTTCCTGTCCAATGAATAAACTGGGTATGTAATAGGATTATTTCCCCCTACTCTAGAAATAATATGTAGCAGGATTATCCAATCTAAATAATGCTGCCCATCTTTAATTTTTTTCTAAAACAAAATAAAAAGAGAAACAAAAAAGACAACATTCATCTAGAACCATCAGGGTTTTTTGAGATGCTTCTCTAGAGAGAAAAATCCCCACATAAGAAAGACTTGGAACATGCTTGAAAGATTTTTGTTTTTACCAGATCTGCAATTTTACTGGCATAGAGAACTCCCAATGGAAAATTCCCTGATCCAGTGAAAATCTTAAATGTTCACCTGTGTTGTAACTTAATCTTAAAAGGTTGCCTAGAGCATTAAAAGGTTAAGTGATGTGTCCAGGGTCAAGTAGTCAGTATATACCAAAGAAGGACTTGGACCCAGGACTTCTCTGACTATAAGTCCAGCTCACTATACACTATGCTTCATGGTATGGAATTATTTTCTTTTTAAAAAGATTAATATTTAATTTTTCCCCAATTACATGCAAAAACAATTTCAACATTTCTTCTTTCAAATTTTGAGTTCAAAATTTTCTCCCTCCCTCCCTCGTTCCCCTCCCCACTTCATTGAGAAGGCAAACAATTTGACCTAGGTTGCACATGTGCAGTCTTGTGAAACATATTTCCGTGTAAGTCATGCTATGAAAGAAAACACAGATAAAAAATCTGTGGAATTATTTTCAAGCAAATTTTTTTTTAATTGGGCAATTGGGGTTAAGTGACTTGCCTAGGGTCACACAGCTAGTAAGTGTCAAGTGTTTGGTCTGAGGCCAGATTTTAACTGAGGTCCTCCTGACTCCAGGGCCGTCCTGTGCCACCTAGCTGCCCCAGGGACTGTCTTTCTTTATTGGGTTATTGCTTAGCCTAGTGCTTGGAACATAGTGAGCACTAATAAGTTCTCTCTCTCCTCTTTCTTTCTCTCCCTTCCTTCCTTCCTTCCTTCCTTCCTTCCTTCCTTCCTTCCTCCATCCAACCTTTGCTTGGAAACCCCATTAAAAGGGAACCTACTATTTCCAAAGGAGGCTCACTGCATGATGGATCAGTGTAATAAATTAGGTACATGAGGCATAATAGTAAATGACTATAGTAACCTAGTGTTTGATAAACCCAAAGACCCCAGTTTCTGAAATAAGAACTCACTATTTGACAAAATCTGCTGGGAAAATTGGAAAACAATATGTTAGAAACTAAGTGTAGACCAACACCTTATAGTGTATACCAGGATAAGGTCAAAATGGGTAAACGATTTAGACATAAAGGGTGATACCATAAGCAAATTAGGAGAGCAAGGAAGAGTTTACCTGCCAGGTCTACAGAGAAGATAAAAAATTATGACCAAACAAGAGACTAGAGAGCATTACAAAATGTAAAATGGATAATTTTGATTATATTAAATTAAAAAGCTTTTGCACAAAACCAATGCAACCAAGGTTAGAAAAAAAACCAGAAAGATGGGAAACAATCTTTATAGCAAGTGTGTCAGATAAAGGCCTCATTTCTCAAATATATAGAGAACTGAGTCAAATTTAGAATACAAGCCATTTCCCAATTGGTAAATGGTCAAAGGATATAAACAAGCAGTTTTCAGACAAAGAAATCAAAGCTATCTATAGTCATATAAAAGTGCTCTAAATCACTATTGATTAGAGAAATGCAAATTAAAACAGCTTTGAGGTACCACCTCACACCTATCAGATTGGCTAATATGACAGAAAAGGAAAATGATAAAAATTGGAATGGATTTAGGAAAATTGGGACACTAATGCACTGTTGGTAGGGTTGTGAAATGACACAACTATTCTGGAGAGCAATTTAGAACCATGCCCAAAGGGCAATCAAATTGTGCATCTGCTTTGATCCAGCAATACCACTATGAGATCTGTATCTAAAGAGATCACAAAAAGGGGAAAAGGATCTATATGTGCAAATACATATATGTGTGTGTGTGTGTGTGTGTGTGTGTGTGTGTGTGTGTGTATCAGCTCTTTTTGTGATGGTAATTGGAAATTGAGGGGATGCTCATCAATTGAGGAAGGGCTAAACAAGTTGTGGTATATAATTGTGATGGAATATTATTGTGCTATAAGAAATGATGAGCAGGCAGATTTCCAGAAACACTTACACAAACTGATGCAAAGTGAAGTGAGCAGAACCAGGAGAACATTGTACAATCAGCAACATTGTGCAATGATAAACTATGAACAACTTAGTTCTTCTTAGCGATATAATGATCCAAGACAGTTCCACAGGACTCATGATGGAAAATCTTATCTATAGCCAGAAAAAGAACTGATGGAATCTGACTACAGATTGAAGCATACTATTTTCACTTTCTTTCTTTTTTATTTTAAGGCAATTGGGGTTAAATGACTTGCCGAAGGTCACACAGCTAGTAATTGTCTGAGGCCAGATTTGAACTTAGGTCCTCCTGACTCCAGGGATGGTGCTCTATCCACCGCACCATCTAGCTACCCTATTTTCACTTTCTTTACTTTTTTTTGTTGTTTTTTTCTTTCATCCTGTTTCTTCTTTCACAACATGACTAATATGGAAATACGCACATACACAATCTATATCAAATTGCTTACTGCCTTAGGGAAGGAATGGTGAGGGAGGGAGACAATTTGAAACTCAAAAATTTTTAAAATGAATATTGAAAATTGTCTTTACATGGAATTGGAAAAAAAGAAAATACTATTATAGAAAAAGGCACTAAAAAACAAAACAAAAAAGAAGGCCCACTCCATTTTTTGGTAGCTTTAATTGTAAAGTGGCTTCTTCTTCTTCTTTTTTTTTTAGGAATAGGGACTAGAATTGTGATTTCACTGGAATAAAGAAATCCCATGTGAGGAAACTCTGTACTAATTTAAGTTGGCATTTTCTCTGTAATATATAGTTTACAGAGCTTCCTTGAACACTTGCAAGGTTTAGTGACTTACCCAGGGTCATCAGAGGTAGAACGTGAACCTAGGTCTTCCAGGATTTGGGACCAGCCCTTTATCCACTATACCAAGATATCTCTTTAAAGACAGCTAAAGAGTTGTCAGCTTGCTTGCTGTTTTTTTCCTTACACTGAATTAAAAACCTGTCTCTCTGTACTTTCTTTCTTTTTTGGGAGGGGTCAGGGGAGGGGGAGAGGCAATCAGGGTTAAGTGACTTGCCCAGGGTCACACAGCTAGTAAGTGTCTGAGGATGGATTTAAACTCAGGTCCTCCTGACTCTAGGGCCAGTGTATATCTTTTTTCCTACTGAGTCCAGTTCTCCTTTTTCTGTTCAGTTTTTAATTTTTCCTCTTCGTTAAAAAACTAAAACAAAAACAATCATCAAGCAATATCTACACACCCATAGAAAGAAATCCTGGGGCAGCCTTTTGCTGCCAGAGGAGTGGGAGATGTAATGGAGCTCCAAATAGATGGGTAGAGAGGTGGAGGGATCCTCTCACCTCATAGGCCTGTTCTGTAGAAGGTCAATAGCTCACATTTGGATCCTCAAGGTAACTGGCTTTTTTTTTGGTGGAGGTGGGGGGAGGCAATCAGTGACTTGCCCAGGGTCACACAACTAGTAAGTGTCTGAGGTCAGATTTGAGCTCAGGTGCTCCTAACTCCAGGGCCCCCTAGCTACCTCCTTCCCCCTTTTTCCCGCAAGGTCTCTGTTACAGGCAAAGTAAGTGATTTCACTAGCGAACATGAGCAATGTTTAAGAAAATACCACTGGATAACGAAGTTATGAAATGGAAGAACTCATGAATCACTCAATCAACGTATAGGAGATTGTGGATGAAAGAGTGGCCTCACTCACAGCCCCATATAGGCTTGGATTTGGGAAATGTTATTCCTGTCCCAGAGGAGAAAGGCAGAGTAGGGCTCATCTGTAGATCTTTGGCATTGAGGACTCTCTGACTAAGATATTTCACAAGTGGGTTCAGCTTTCTTCCTATGTAAGCATCTGGAAATTCACCCATGAATTCTCCCTACAATTTCCATTGGGAAACTGGCCCACTACTTGTTTTGCACTTTATAAATGTGATAAAATAAATCCAGCTGGAAAGTGTGCTGGTGACAGAGTACTGCCCTGAAAGTTATATTGCCTCGTTATGTTTCACAATCCATTTCGAAACCACCCCTGTAAGTCATGGCAACTTGGCAAAGGATGCACTACGTGGTTGCCACAATGATATTTCAATAACCCATTCTTTGGAACAAATGAGCCCCAAACAGTGAACTATATAGGCAAATAACATTTGGTGCTCACAACTCTACTTCAGAAGATCATAGATTTTGGACTGCAAGGTATTTGAGAGGTCATTCAGTCCAACCTCCTCATTTTACAGATAAGGAAACTGAAGTCCAGAGAAGTTAAGTGAATCACCCAGATCATCCAGGTAACAGAGCTGAAATTCAAACCCAGGTCTTCTGAGCTTTTCCCACTGTACCATACTGCATCCCAATATTTCATGCATGATAAGGATTTTCCATAATGAAAGAGACCATATTTAATGTTCTTTATTAGCTTACTTATGTATTTAGATTGTACAATGTAATAAGTTATATATACAGAGTCAGACAAAATTATTAGCAATTAAGACTTCACCGACACAGGCATATCCTGGTTTGGTTCTCTCTCCTCTCTCTTTCTTTTTTGGTCCAAACCTACAATTTCCTCAGTGTTGATTGCTTCCGGTATGGAAGTTCCTTGCACTAATGCAGATTGGCAACTTGTCTATAATGTATAGTTTTAAAGAGTTGCCTGGGATTACTGAGAGGTTGAAGGATTTGCCCATGTTTACACAGCTAGTATGTGTCAGAGGCAGGTCTTAAACCTAGCTCTTACTTTATCCACCTTGTTGTGCTTCTTCTCCTGTGTGTTTTAGCAATAATAAAATTATGGCTATCTTCCTGGAAATTGACAAGGAAAGTCAATGGTACACTCATCATGGTAGCCCAGCTGATTCTGAAAGTCAGCTTTCCATCAAAGCTCCATCAGTATATGCCATTTAAAGTGTTTCTGCCTTCAGATCAGTCAATGGCCTATGGCCACAAGATGGAAGATGGCAAGATTCAGGCCAAAACTATGACTGCAGAATATGCTCACTAGACTTGGCCAAATGCACGAAGACAGAAATAGCAGTTTTGTCTTCTCTTTTGAAACTAATTTTTAAAAGAAACAAACAACAAACTGTTCTTGGAGAAAAGAGTGCTCATCACATATGGCATTTGCCATCTAATTAAGGGAGAGGCTTTCATCAGCATTAGCACAAAGCAAGGGGAAGAAGGTGAAGAGGGTGCACGGTAGGATTTCAAAGAGGAATTAAAAGGATAATTAAGTTTCACCTCAGAGTATGTAGCTCACAGGATATATGAAATAGGTTCTGAAAACAGCAGCAAACAGAGACTGTAAATGGTGATGTTAAATATTCAGGTCCTAATTATGATCCTATCACAGTATGTTCTACTTTTGCAACAGTAGAAAATTAGTTGTAAGCTTCAAGCAGACAACTGATTTCCCTCCTCCTCGCCTGCCCAGCCTCCCCCACCCCAAAGCGATTGCTCAGTCATGCAACTTGTAATTTAAAAAATATTACTTTGTAAGCTACGGAATTTGTTTTAATTTAGGAATAGCTCTAGTGAAACCTGTCATTACAGCATCTCAGCAATGAATTGTAAATTAACCCACTGGGGTGATAACTGGGGCTGGCTGCTGCTCTCTTTGCAATTATAGGTTTGGAAAAACCACTCTGCCAAAAACAATGTCACTTTGCTAACTTTATCTCTAAATGTTATGGCAGACAGTTGCCGTGGAAAACTTCAAAACTAAGTCTTTATGGCCTTAGTTCCTATTTTGCATTTCAAATCCATATGGTTTCCATGTGCTGCTTTTTTCAACACTGTTGTTTTCCTAAATCTCCATCTTCATTGGGCTCTGATGAGTTTCAATTTTGTTGATGATAGAATCATGGAATTCCAGGGCCAGAAGCAATCTTAGAAATCAGTGAGCACAACCCTATTATAGATGGGGAAACTGAGGCCCAGAGAGGTGAAGTAACTCCATAACTAGATATGGAGAGGGGTAGCTAAAGCCATGATGTAGGTTTCTAGGTTCCCGATTCGATTCTTGAACTGGCTACCTTCCAATGAATTTCAATGTTGCCCTTTCCTGACTGGTTCTACAGAGAAGGAATATTGGAGGATGAAGCTCTCTTAATGTGATGTTCCTCCATGAAATATTAGATGGTCTTTGTGCCTGACAAAACCCTTAATCAGTAAGCTATCATTTCTCCTCCTTTAAAGAGTGATACCAGCTGCTTACAGGTTCTTCTTGGGCATTTTTCTACCCAAAGTAAAATTCAGCTGGAAAGAGATGGGCATGGAGTCACATGCTGAGGCTGGGGAGTTCCAAGGGACAGTGGGGCTGAGCCAATTGAGTGTACACCATCAACTGGGGGAGCCCCAAGAAGCAGAGGGCCACCAAGTTCCCTATTGAGGGGCAAACCGGAGCAGGTTGTAAATGGAGCAGGTCAAAGCTCCCCTGCTGATCAGGAGTGGGATCAGGCCTGTGGGTCACCCCTGTATTTCCATCCTGGGCAAGATGAGGACACCCAGTCTTTAAAAAATAAATAAATAAATGAAGGAAAGGAAAGAGCCCTGGACTGAGTATCTGGTGCCTGCAATTTAAGACCTTGCTTGGACTCTTAACTAGCTATGTCACCTTGTAGATTCTTAACCTCTCTGGCCCTGAGTTTTCATATTGACCACCAAGGGGCATAGACTAGGTCACTTTTGATGCCTGAATTTGACAAAGTGATTAATCTGCAAATATGCACAGACTCAAAGGTAATTAAACTGCTTCCTTGCAAAGTCAGATAGGATATTAATAGACCAATCTGAACTGATGCTAGGAAATGAAAAGATGCATAGAGAGAAGTATGTGTTCATTAAGATCATTTGGCAAAACTTCCCATAAAGAGCACCTCTGCAATGAAGCCTTCCTTGATTACCTGTCAGAAGCACTCTCTTCCTTTTCTCAACTCCAACAGCATGAATACTGAACCACTTGGTGTTGCCATTGTGTATATTTCATCTCCTCAATTAGATTGTAAGCTCTTTGAGAGCAGAGACCATATTTTGTACATCTTTGCATCTTCCCTTAGTGCCCAGCACAGTGCTATAAAAAACATAGTAGGTGCTAAGTAATAATGGTTGTTGAATGAATGTGTTTGTCCATTCATCCTCATGAGGTACGGTGTTTGGCTTAGTATTCCCCAGCCGGTACATCACTAGCTTTGTCTTTGGCTTCTCCTTGGTCCTCAGAACAGCCTAAGATATGACCTAGTGACATGTGAGAAAACCCTTAATTTTTAGGAAGCCTGTGAGTAGGTACCATTGCTGGTTCCAAGTTTCCCGGCTCAATCACCCTTGCAATGTTCTCAGGTGAAGGAAGTGAAGTCACATCCCAACAAAAAGGGAGGCAGTTCCTAATGATGCTCGTCAGGTTGTGACAGGAGGCTGAGGTGTCGGCATGACTTGAGCCCACTCCAAAATGTCGGCGCACAGAGACTCGACAGCATCCAGTCGCTCAATCTGTACAAGTTTTGTGAGCAGCTCTGGGATGCTGTAGCCTGCTGTGCTGATCCGGTCAAAGAGCTGCATGCCATCTGTCATCCCCCCTATCTCGTCCCTCTTCAATCCAAAGCTTTCAGCAAGGTGGCGCCATGTTTTCACGATGGCTTTCTCTGTGTTGTAGGTGGAGCTGAGCATCCTGCTTGTCTTCTCTAGGCAGTCAAATGGTAATTCCGTGGGGCTGAGACCTGGAAGAGCAGAGAGTCCAAGTCAGAAATCATACATTTTAGGCAACAGGAACATGAAACAATTTGTTTTAAAAAAGTGTGTTCCATGACTCTTCAATTTAGGCAACTCTCGACACAATAATTATTGACTAATAATAATAATGATGGTACAATAATATTGACTAATAATCTCCCAGATGTGGGTCTGGGAGATGGGAAATGTAACCTCCAAAGCTAGCAGATGCCTTCTGAGAAGGGAAGCCTCCTCCTGTCCTGCCACCATGTTTGGAGCTGGGTATGGAATCAGGGAAGGGCAGCTAGGTGGCGCAGGTGATATGAAAACAAAACATATCAAAAAATAAGATTAAAAAAATAAGGAAAGTTAAAAAAATAATTTGGCACATGGATTTCTTTCGAAACTTTCCTAGAAAGGCTATTGGCAGCATTGCTGATACCTTTGAGTCCAAGTACTCCCTCATTTCTAGATAAGTGACAACCATTCACTCCATTAGGTCAAGGGTTCAATCTGATGATACTTTGGTTACGTTGGAAAACATAATTTTAAACTCATTTCTACAATACAACAGAAGGGAAAGAAGTCAGAAAAGGACAGCCTGGAGGAAGAGGCAATCCCTTCCTACCTAAGTGATGTATTTTCTCTAATAATGAAGCCTGTTCTCAAGCTTTGGGGTATGCATTGGCATAAGGTAAAAACTCTATAGACCAAGCAGCCAAGAGCAGCTGTGTCTAGCTGTCTGGATCACGGGTGTTTCATTGAGCAATTTCCAGCTCAGCCAGCAGTAGCAGCCAACCTTCCAGTGGCCTAATCTGGAGCCGTTCATTTCCAGGGATTTGGTGGCAGTACAATCTCTGCCACAACAGGCTTAGTTCCCTATCCAGTCCCTGCACTTGGGTTTTGCCTTTGCCCAAGTATTCAGGTGAAACCAGACTTTGTGTTCAGTCTGGGCCAAAGGAAGATAAATCCTCATTATCTTGTGGGTCAGCAGCCATCAGTGAAGTGGTATTTGGGGATGGGTGGAAGAGGAGGAGGGGCCAGCTGGAGGTAAATAGAGGAAAGGATGGATTCTAACCCCTGGCACTGATTCACAACACTGAAGAAGGAGCTTCCCACAACTCTGTTTATCTCTCTGCAAAGGGGATATATTTCTACTACTTGTTTGTTAAATGTTGTTCACTCCCTAGATGAAAGATGCTATAGGAGGTAGAAGGACAAATAGCTATACATAACCAGAAGAGGCTATAAACAAAGAAACAAAGCTGTCCTTAGAGGCTCCTTTGTAAAATAGGCCCAGAAACATCATTTTCACAGAACTTGCTTAAAAAAACCCTCTGAAGTTGCGGAGTCTGAGGATAGGACTTGAAAACAAAAATCTTTGGTGCTTCCAGTGAGTGAGTTCTAACCAGCTCCTAGTTTGTACCCAGCTCCCTTATGGTTCTAGAATGAAGAGGTATCATTTCCATCAGCCCAAGGATCCCTAAGTGTTTTTCCTTTAGAAATGGTAAAAAAAATACTTAAAATAAGACATTGCTATTATTATTCCTTTCCTTAAGGGGACTTAAAATTTTATATTTTTTCCAGTCCTTGAAGAAAAAATTCTAGAGTGTCAGTGACCTCAGAAAATTGTTGCATTTACACATAATATGGGTGGAGAATAATAGACTTAGCACTAGAAGAAGATTCTGAGGCCATCTAGTCCAATTTTCTCATTTTAAAGATGAGCAAAGTTAAGTGATATACCCATGGTCGCACAGGAAGTCAGAGGCAAGACGGGATTCAAACCTAAGACTTCTGACTCCAAATCTAGCAGTCATTCAATCAACTAGTATTTATTAAGTGACTACTATGTGCCAGGCACTGTGCTAAGTGTTGGGAGTACGAAGGAAGGAAAAAAAAATTTGGGACTGAGAGCTCACTGTGAAATGGAGGTCTAGTGAGGGCTGGGTCAGGTCTCCATATTTCTCTAGTCTTTGTTCAATCTTGTTGAACTCAAGGTAAGTTTTTCCTAAGTCTTTGTGTCTGTCCATTCGTCATATGGGGACGGGGGGGAATCTGTGTCACTTGGATGACTGTCATTTAACTTGGGAAGTCTGAGGATGGTTTCATTAACTTACAAGTGGATATAGGTTTTTTTTTAAATTTTTAATTTTTGGTTATTTGGTAGGTTAAGTACAGATTTGCAGGTAAAGATGACAGATGATATGGCTGTGGTGAGGGTAAAGGGTGGTGACACACATAATAGCTTACACTTATATAGTACTTATTATGCTTACTATGTACCAAGCACTGTGCCTTGTTTGATCCGCACAACACTGGGAGGTAGGCACTATTATTATCCCCACTTTACAGATGAGGAGCTGAGGCAAATGAAGGCAAAGTGACTTGTCCAGGGTCACACATCTAGGAAATATCTGAAACTGTATTTAAACTCAGGTCCTCCTAATTCCAGGTCTAGAGCTTTATCCACCTAGTTGCCCCAGAGAATTGGAAAAACCTGGAGACAGGAGGCAGAATTTGCCACTTGCACTGAGGACAGGGTCCAGAAGAACAGTTTGGGCAGTCATGCTGAACCACTGGCTGTCAGAGAGAAATTGATCATTTTTTTGTTTTGTTTTGTTTTTTGGCTAGGCAATGGGGTTAAGTGACTTGCCTAGGATCACACAGCTAGTAAGTGTTGTATGTCTGAGGCCAGATTTGAACTCAGGTCCTCCTGAATCCAGGGCCGGTACTCTATCCACTGTGCCACCTAGCTGCCCCAGAAATTGATCATTTTGAGGGTAAGCAATTTTGGGGAGGATTTCTTAGGGGTGAGGAGTGTGGTTTATTACTCATACAAAACCTTGACCTTCCCTCATTTTGCTATCTCCTCACGGTGAGTTCTCAAACTGCAGCTGCCCATTAGAGAATAAAGTCAAACTTGGACATTAACCTAGGATGCCAAGTGAGTGGTAGGCAGCAGTGTCAAGCCTCCTTTACCCATCCATTTTACATTATGAGTTTCTGGAGATCAGGTACCATGTTGATTATAGGGATAGAGACTGGACCTGTGATTTCATTGATATGGGTTACTCCCAGATGAGGAAACTCCTTTTGCCGATAAAGATTAATATCTTCTCAGCAACTTACAGTCTTAGAGAACTGCTTAGAGCACAGAGAGGTTAAATGTTTGCCAAGGGTCACACAGCAAGTATATGCTAGAGGTGAGACTTGAACCAAGGTCTTCCTGGCTTAGAGGCCAGCTCTTTACACCAGGCTATCTCTCATGCTGGACATGTATTAGATAAAATGGTGGTTAATAAATATTTTTGATGATGGTGGTGCCAGCTCGGATTTAGTTACAAGAGCACTGCATCCCAAACAAAGCCCCTTTGCATTTAGGAAAGGATGACATATGTGCCTTGCCCATATATAACTTAACGCTTAATAAATGGTTATTGAATTGAGTCTCCTTACATGCTTCTGATCTTGGGATCATAGATTTAGAGTTGGAAGGCACCTTAGATGCCATCGAACTCAAGTCCTTCATTTTGCAGAAGAAGAAACCAAAACCCAGAGATGTGAAGTGTTTGTCCTTTGTCACACAGATAGGAAATGGCAGATCTGGGATTCTAACCCATGTCCTCTGACTCTAAGCCTAGCTCATTCCCAAAGCACCATATAGCCCTTTACCTGGTGGCAACAGAGAATGCCCTCATATGCTGCTGGGCCGACTTGGGCATTAGCTGTGAGGAGAAGTGTTTTGTCTCATGGTTTCAAGAAAGTGCAACAAGGATCTTGTCAGGATAGGCCAAGCGTTTGCTTGTCCATGCAAAGGAGGTGACAGAGGGGAGGGCTGGTTGGAGAGGACTCCTGTACTATACCATAGATTGGCTCGACCAGATTCAGGCCCTTTCCTCTCCTTCCTCCTGAGGTTGGTTGAGTTTGCTAATCTACAGTATCTGATACATTGGCACGGGTCATTTTGCGCAGCTTGCTTCCAAAGAACACTGGAAATCTTGAGCCAAACTCTCTTTTGCTAGTATGAGGTAAAAAAGGACCTCGGATACGCCTAGAAGTGAGTTATGATCACACAGTTGGGGTTGACCTGATTTGTGACATAGTGAGCTCCTGAGGAGAAAGATCCTTTTACCCAGGCAGACTAACAACTGTTCTGCAACTTAAAATCTTGGAGCATTTCCTGAAGCACTGAGAGGTGAAGAAATTTGTCAGATGTAGGGTTTGAACTCTTACTTTACTGACCCTGAGGCGAGCCCTCTATTCTTTCTGCCATGTTGTCTCACAGTTACCTACTTTAATTACATCTGTAATTAGTTGGGATGTGTATATCATGTGAGTGAGGACTGATATTCAATTTAGTTTAATGCTGCAAGCATTTATTAAGTGCCTACTGCTTGCCAGCTAATGTACCAGGACCTAGGGAGACAGACAAAACAAAAAACTCCAGTGCTCACCTTCTGCCACCCCACACACGTTGGCATACACGTCAAGGATCTTCTTTCTTCTACTCTGAATCTTTAAGCAAAAACAGAAACAGAAAAAACACATGATTTCATATTGATGGGGGAAACAGTAGTTTAAACAGTGCCTTCTGGGGATCCCTCTCAGCAACCTCTTTGACCAGTACCAGCTTTGCTCTTCCAAAGTGGAGTCGAGTATGAGAAACTTGTATGTAGTGAATTTGGGAGCCATGAAAAGCCTCCAACAAAAGTCTAGTCCACTACCCACTTCAACAACTTTATTTCCTGCAAAGTGGTCCATTGGTAGCCGTATCACTGAGTCAATAGGGTATAGAGGAATTAGTTTTCAGTGCGCTCAACATCCACGGCTTCATGGAAGAACACTTTGGCACCAGAAGACATCGCTGAAAGGAAGTTTCTTGCCCATAAATTCCCATCAATCAGGTGAATCTCCATTATAGATGCAGGGCATCATTTTAGTGTGGCCATAAATTGTGGGTATTTGTAAAAGAACGGTGTGTGCATGTTGGAAACTTACCCCAGTTGATTTGTTGTTTGTGGAAGATTTATCCCTTGTCAAATGGACTAATGATAACAAGCACAGCTCTGGGGACCCTTGCTTGTCAACTGCGGCTTCTTCATCACTGTCCATACTCCGACTCAGGAGCTGTTCATTCTCAGAAGAGGCATCATTCTCACTGGGGAAAGATGAAGGGAATGTTAATGGCATCTTTGAAAGTGGAACCATCTAAAATTCAACTCCTAGATTGCTTATTGCCAGCAGATTTTGATCAGGGTGCAAATTAAAGCATGCTTGCAAATGGAGCAAGAGAGGGTCCATTAAAGAGAGCTCCATTAAAGTGAGACCTATGGGTGTGAGTTGGTTAGAATTTGTATATCATGTAAGTGAGGACTGATATTCAATTTAATTTAATTCAATAAGCATTAAGGGCCTATAATGTACCAGGCAGTCTTCTAGGAGTTGGGGATGCAAAGATAGAAACAACAAGAAAAAGTAAGCCTTGCCCTCAATGAGCTTACTTTCTAGAGATAAGAGATAACATGTAAACGGATAAATATAATAATAATGAGAGCTCAACATTTATATAGCACTTACTCTATGCCAGGCACTGTGCTAAATGTTTTACAATTATTATCTAATTTGGTCCTCACAACAACTTCAAGAGGTAGGTGTTATTATTATCCCCATTTTCCAGATGAGGAAACCGAGGCAAACATAGGTTAAGTGACTTGCCCAGAGTCACACAGTATCTGAGGCTGAATTTGAACTCAGGTCTTTCTGACTCCAGGCCCAATGCTCCATCCACTGCATCAGAAGACAATTTTAGGAGGAAGAAAGCGCTAATGGGTCCTTTCCAAGGTCACGTTGATAGTAAATGGCATAGTCCAGATTGGAACATCTGACTAAAGTCTGATCATCTTTCCATTGTATCAAAAATCTTGAGAGGCAAGAATGATGGGTCAGATCTAATAAAATGACTTTTAATATGAATAAAGGTGAAGTCTTACATTTGGGCTAAAAATAATCAACTGAATATGAAGATGATAGAAGGATGTAAAAATTCCTACTGCACAGCAGTTAATGTGATAAAAGACAGATTTTGTTGTTGTTTTAATGAACTTACAAGGTCAATAAGAATAAACAAGGTAACACAGTGACCAAAAAGTCAATGCTATCTTTGGCTGCATTAAGAGACGTGAGGGTCACACTGTATCCTGTCTGAGTCAGACAACATTTAGAATGTTATATGTCAGTCAATAAGCACTTATTAAGCAGAGTATGCCAGATACTGTCCTAGGGATACAAGAAAGGCAAAAAGCCTCTGTACTTGTCCTACAGGAGCATATATCCTAATGGAGGAGGCAATATGAAAACAAATAGATAGATACAAGGTATATTAGAGTAGATGGTAATCTTAAAGGGGAAGGCATTAGCACATTAGAAGTAAGGTGGACCAGGAAAGCTCTCCTGCAAGGTAGGCTTTGCATTGAGTCTTCAAGGAAGCCGGGGAAGGTAAGGGGCAAAGAAAATGGTATCCTGGTAAATGTTTAACAACCAATTCCCCAGTAAAAAAGTAGGTACAACACACTCTCAAGTTCATTCTGCATTAATAACATATTGTCCATCACTTTCTTAAGTCTAGACAATCAAAAAAACCATAACTCAAGCTCTGATGTATAGTTTTTGCTGATCTCTGAGGGATAAATTTAACAACTGGGTCTCACAAGCTGGGAAGAGATGACTCCAGCACACCCCTGGGCAGAAGTGAAGGGGTGGAGTATTCCAGTCCTTTCCCTCTGCAAAGTGCAAAAGAGCTGAGAAGGGGACCAGAAGTTATATTTTAGGAAATGCAAGGAAAAGCTGGATGGCAGAGTTTATGGAAGTAAGGTGTAAGAAGGTAGGAAGAGGTCAGATTGCAAAGAACCATAGATGCTAAATGGAGGACTTTGTATTTGATACTGGAGGTACGAGGAAGACCCTGAAGCTCACTGAGCAAGGGGGGTGAGAGTGGGGGAAGGGAGGATAGGGTCAGACTTAATGTTTTAGAAAAATGATCTGAGCAGCTGAGTAGGTTTCTGGATGCCACTTTTTAGGAAGCACACTAACAAATGGGAGCCTGTCCAGAAGAAGGCATCTCACATAGTGAGAGAAGTGGAAACATCAGTTGAAGGAACTTGGCAGGTTTAATCAAGAGAACAGTAAATTTAGGGTGGACATGGTAGCTATCTTCAAGTATTTGAAGAACTGTTACCAAAAGAGGAGTTAGACTTGTTCTATTTAATCTCAGAGGAAAGAACTAAAATAAATAAACAAAAAAAAATTGGGTAGAGGTTACGGAAAGGAAGATTGAGTCTATTGTTAGAAAAGCTTGTCCATTTTTTGATAAGCATTACTTCTATGTATCCAGCCCAAGGAATCCTTGCTGTAGGGAGGGGACCAAATCTCCCGTGAGGAAAGACTTGTCCTCTAGATCCGTGAGTCTCCCTGCCAGGATCCAAAGGAACTACCTGGGTAGCATTTCTAACCCCTAAGCACATGTGCACTGGGTCTTTAAGCTAGCAAAAGAGTCAATGTTCAGAAAAGGCTTCTCCACAGCTCATTAAAATCATTCAAAATATATGAAAACAATATTCTTTCATAAGGATTCTATTCTTCTTTTGTGGTTTGGCTGAAGTCTTATGAAAAGGATTATATTTGTGGGTAACCGGGTTATAGCAATAAAGCCCACACTCAAGAACAGCCCTGGAGGCACAGTGATAAAAACAAAATAAAAGGAATGGATGATGTGCCCACTTTCTAATTTGATCTCAAACTCTCATGGGGAGTCATCTCAGATGCCCATTCTTTGTCTGCCCATGACAGAAGGCAACGGTAAAAGAAGGGAACAGGCAAGTCTGCTCCCGTGTCGCTTACTGAGATCCGTTACCTAACGTCTTCAGAGCAGGCAGCAAAAGATGAAACCAGGTCTTTGGTGTGACTTTTACAGTCCCATTTTCAAGTTTCTACTTTTCCTAGAACATATTCTTTTAAAGATTTTCCCTCCACATTCACGTCCCGTTCATGCTGCTTAATGGCAGGGACTATTTATTTAGTTATTTTTCTTTCCTTCTCTCCTCTTCTCTCCTCTTGCCTCCCCTCCTCTCCTCTCTTTCCTCTTCTCTCCTTTCCTTTTTCTCTCAGATAACACTTTGTTTTTGAACTCTCTAATGAACTCTAAGGCCTGTAAGCTTGTGCATTATAGCTATCCATGTTGGTGTTTTATCCCCCATTAGACTGTAAGCTCTTTCAGGGCAGGGGCCATTTATAAATTTTGTGTCTCCCCTAACATCATGCACGGTGATCTGCATGCAGTAATTGCTTCATAAATCTTTGTTATATATCAATGTGAGTTATGTCATAATACTTCAGATCATATAGTATTATTAAGATTTTTTCCCCCAAAGGCCAGAGAATTTGCTGTATTATGTCAGATAAAAATGTGTCCAGTTAATTCATTATCAGACTGTCGAGTCAACTTTGTGGCTTTCTCCATTACAGACAACAAATGTGTCTTTCTTTTAAAGCCTTCTCATTGCCACATAAAAATTGCATATATGGGATTAGAAGATGTAGACTGACCTGGGAAATGGATCTCTGGCCTCCCTAATCCTGGGCCCTATGTCTTCTTTGTACCTTAGGTTAACCTTAGCTTTTATGTAGGTTGGGGATAATTTGGCTACCCAAAACAAGCAAACAGAAATCAGTTTCCATTGTCTTAAACCAGCCTCTGACAAGAAATGGCTAGTAGGCTTAGGAGGTAAGAACCTAAGAAAGTAAGTCTGGACTTTGATGACTTAATCCATAGTAACCCAGTCAATGCAAACTCCAGCAGCAACTCGCATGCCCATGCTCACATGTGTCCTTCCTCAGCCTAGCCCAAGTAAGCTGCAGACTATCCTTGTCATCCTTGTTATACTCTGCATTCTCGAGTTCCTCAGCAAAAGCCTGGAGAACTGAACCGGATAGACTGATTGGTGTGGTTAATTTCTGAGCTCATTAAGTGGCTGGTTTCCTCTGTTGTCTCTGTTGTTCCCTGCCAGGAGCTGCCGTTAAGCCTGGCCACTTAACATCACTTGTAGCACCCCTGCCACCCTATCTGACCTTACCTCTTGGCAGTCTTTGCTGGCGTGGCTGTCAGCTTCTCAAACTCATCCTTCTCGGCAAAAATCACGACGTTTTCTGCAGGTGAATAAGAGGATTTATAGAGGGATGAGTTGAAAGTGATGCTGGGGCTCGGGGAGAGTAAGCTACCTCTTTGGCAGTCTGTGTGTGCCAGGTAAATCCCCCTGAATGATGCTATTCTTCTAATTACTCCCCGAGGATTAAGTAAAATTTCGGTGCTCCAGATACCACTTCCCCTAGTCTCTTTTCTAAATGGTACAAGAGTTTAAGCAATTAGGAGGGAAGGCTGTTCAGAGATGGCTGATAAAAGGGAAATCTAATTCTTATTGGTCTCCAGGAGAAAGCTAAAAAGAGTAAAACAGTTTGTTCAGACCTTGAACTTCTTTTTTCTCTTCTTGTTTGCTGACTTGAGCTTCCACAGTCTTCACGGAATGACTGGTGCAGCAGGCTGGAACATGAATGAGAAGTTCAATAGTGGCCATACTTAGGGGCTGCATTGAGTAAACATGTGTAGTTTTTCATGGAGATGTCATGAGTTGGGGGGTGGGGTATGCTACCTTGGGCAGAAGGCTTTGTCTTCATGATGTAAAACATGATGATGAGGACGATGGCAATAGCCATGATGAAGATGGTGGACATAGCAATAATCAGGGCAGTGGCCAGATGCCCTTGTCCTGAGAGATCTGCTGAAGTCAGAGAAATAAAGGAGGAAATAAGCATCATTGGGTGGCTATAAAGAAACCCTTGCTGAAAACTGAATTGTTGACTTAGTGAACCTGGAAAGCCAGGACTAAAATTGCGTTGATTCTGATTTTTATTCATAAGAACTTATGAAATTGATTTGCTCCTGAGACCAGCTTTGACCATGACATCATGTGTTGCTATTAGATTATCTTTCCCCAGTTGAATGCGGCCTTTATAGACTTTAACAGGAGACACATGATTCATGCCCAGTCCTATTTCTCTGGCCCCTTTTTTTGGCTCAATTGCTTTGGGGACCTGGGGTTGAGATGAGGTGGTGAGGACAGGAAGACAGACACATGAAGCAGTGAACTAACTAAAATTCAATCCAGGTTTCTGGACTTCTAGCAAGATGTACTCTAGTTCTGCTGAGACCTTGGGAATGTTCCCTCATCTCTGCAAAGTGAGGATAGAAATAGTAGCTTCACTACCATGAGGACTCAGACTTCCTGGGGAGCTCTTTGGGATGAGAGGGTGAAAGGGACATCACTGGAAAACCTAAGATCAGTGTCTCTGGAGTGGGTCAGCCATGTTTGCTTACCAGTAAAGCTTTTGGGCTTGTTTTGCAATGTACTGTCATCTCCTTAGATCTGCTGTGACTCTTTAGTCTGAACAGAGCATCCTACACAATGACAGCAATGGGGCAAAGATCACCTCACAGATTGATATAAACTCTCCCTTTGGCTTTATCTTATTTCTGTGGCAATTCTACCTCTTAGGGTGTCCTCCCACCCCCACCTCACCTTGGGAAGTTATGGACCACTGTATTGATGAGTTCCTTCCTTTGTTGGGGATACACATTAATTACTAAAGCCCGTTTTAATTCTGTGAAGGAAAACTTGGCAGAAGTTCTCGTAAGCCAGGATGCTACTCACTCCTCACACCAAGAGGCAAGTTCACCCAAGTGGACATACTGAAAACACATGTGGTTCTTGTTGATGGCAGAGCTCCAACTTTATGTCCAGAACTGGGTACCCCCTCTGGCAACCAAAGCTTATACTTTTTCCTTTGGATTAATGCACCATGGGGAGCAGTTCTGCCGATGAGAGTACTTGCATGCAGGATAATTGGTCTCAGTATGTGAGTTTAAGAGCATGTGTAACAGTTTTGGTTGCCAGGTATGGATGATATAATCTTTTTAATATTCTCAGCATTGTGCATTACTTCCCCTGAGTCCTGATGAAAATGAGATTCATATATCTCCATAAGGTTTCCTGGCTTAATCCTCTACAAAAGTCCACGGGTGGGTCAGATTTTAAAGGCTGAGGAGGGGGTTGTCTAGTGAAAGACACTAAATTACTCAGATATTATGTTTTTAAAACATTGAAGTAATGGAATGCAGTGAGGCCAAGTTCAGTGCCAAGCAGGTCATAGCACCAGGGTCTTGCTTGAGAGAAATATTAGGCTTTGGGTTACATGAGAATCTGCTGCCTTCTCAACCATTTCAAACCCAAAAGATTAGGAGTAGTAGCTGTGTTTATCTGATTGAATATTCAAGGGCTAAGGTGAAGCAAATCTCATGAAAGCATGCTATAGAGTTAAGATAGCGGCAGAAACAATCAGCTACACAGAAATTTTCTTCTGTCCTTCCATACTGAATTAGAAGAACAGAGTGCTGAACTAGGAGTCATGAAGTCCTGGGTTCATATTTGACCTTGGGCACTATCTGTGTGACCACAGGCAAGTTACGCAACCTTTCTAGACCTCGGTCTCCTCATCTGTAGAATAGGGAGCATAATATTTAAAGTATTTACCATAAGATAAAGTAGGTAAGCAGGCACTTTGCAAACCTGAAAGCCCTATGAAGATAGCAACTGTTATTCCTTAGATCTTTGCTCATTAACTCAAGACCCTTCTATCAGTCACATCATTTTTGTGCTGCAACCACACATTTCAAAGATGAAGAGGAAGATGGGGAGGGGGAGGGTTTCCTTTTAATCAATATCTTTAGGAAACTGTTAATACCCTAAAAAAAATGTGCACTTCTTTAGAACACAGGCTAACGGCCACAGGACACACACAGAGTGATCAATCCTGTGCAATGCTGGGATAATTATTAACTTCCAGCAACCCAGCCCAGCTTAGCGGATTAACTCATGTTAGAAAAATGATTTGAGGTGGGGAAAACTCTTCAGGAGCATTACTAATAATTATTTCCTCTCTTCCTCTTAACTTTCATCCAACCTACCTGAGATTTCTGAGGATGTTAAATCCAGAATATCAATACCTGAGCACTTTCCTTACCTTTATGTGCATGCTGGAAAGGAGAGCTGGTGCTGGCGCCAGAGGTACCTGGGAGACTGGCAGAAACTCCAGAGGTGGCTCCCACACCTGTGAGGGGAACAAAGTTGGCATAAGATCCTCTGAAGTTCCCTTGGGAATGATCCCACCCTTGAGTGATTAGTAAAGGAGATATTGCAATGCAGTGGTGAGGGCAGGGGAACCTCAGTTTTTTGAAGTGTCATCTGCTACTGAGGAGATTTCCTAACCCTGGATGCTTTTTTTTTTTCAAACTAACCAACCAACCAATCAATCAATCAAACAAACAAATGAACAAACAACAACGAACAACTAACCTCTCCCTAAAACCAAGTCTCAGCCTTTGGGGGGCTTTCACAAACTCCCAAAAGGGACTTTTCCTGCGAATGGGGATAAAGCATTGTAAAATCTGTAAACAATGTTATACTGTGGAGCTAACAGGAGGCTTTGGCCCGGTTCCCATGTAGTGACAAGTGACTAATTCTTTTAGTTGCTTAGAGCTAAAATGTATTTTGCAGTTCTACAGAAAAATGATTTATGGAACACCCCTATAATGGGGGTGAAGTGCGTTGTGGTAAGGAGGGGAATGGAAATTGATACTGTCGTAAGATGGAGCACTGGGAATGTTATTGTTTGAAAAAATTAACAAGTACAGATCTACCAAGTAGAGGCAAGGACTGGACAAGAAATGATGGGTTGTTTTTTTGTTTTTTTTTTTTTTTGGTTTGTTCTTTGGTTTGTTATGATCAATAAAAATACTTGTGTCTCTGTAAATTTCTTTCTTCCTCTTTCCCCTTTTATCTTCCTACATTATGACATTAATTCAGTTGGTGTGACTGGGCCATGGAAAAGCAGGTTATAAATCAAGGGTAAAACCACCGCACTTGCTGATAAATCACATTATCATAGAACTTGAGATTTGGAAGGGACTTGAGGAGTCACCTAGTCTGACCTGTGCAGGAAAGAAATCTCCACTGTAACATACCCAACAAGTAAGGGGCTTATTCTTGAAAAGTTCCAATGAGGGGAAACCCACCACCTCTCAATGAAACCCATTTCACTTTTATACAGTTCTAATTGTTGGAACATTTTGTCTGACATCAAGCCTAAATTGATTTCTTTGTAACTTCCACCCACTGCTCCTGGGGTGGGGATGAGGGCCCTTGGGGGCCAAACAGATCAAGTATGACCCATCTTCCACATGAAGGCCCTTCAGATAATTGAAGACAGCTATCATGTCCCTTCCTGAATCTTTTCCTCTCTGGGCAATTAATTTACTTCAATCAATGCTCATATTATAATCTCTCTCTCTCTCTCTCTCTCTCTCTCTCTCTCTCTCTCTCTCTCTCTC